TCCCCCGTAGATAATACATTGTTTTTTTCTCTAGGTATCTTTCTGGATGATTTTTGTGTAACCATTGTGTTACCATTGCCTATAGTATTGAGTGCAATAACATATACCATGCTGTACAGGTTAATCGCCTAGGAGGAATAGGCTATCCCATATAGCCTAGGTGTGTAGCAGGCTATACCATCTAGGTTTGTGTAAGTACACTCTATGATATTCACATACCACCACCAACTGACACATTTCTCAGGACATATACCTGTTGTTAAGGGACACATTATATATTCACATATAGATTTTTTTCAGTTTATCCCATTTATGGTTTACTAAAATTATTAAATCTATGGGCATTTAACTTTTACCAAATTTGGTATATACAATTGTTACCTCTTCAAATAATTTTTCAGCATGTACATGTTCTCCCCTCATTCTGAGACTCCAGTGACATAAATATTGGACTTTGTTATTGCCATACATGTTTCTGAAGATCTGTTCTTTCTTATTTTGAGTAAGAAGGAGCTATCTTTTGTTCTTTCTATTGTTCAGATTGAATAATTTCTATTGATCTATCTTCGAGTTCCTTGTTATCTTCATTGCACTATTGAGCTCAACTAGTGAGGTGAAATTTTTTTTCTTGGTTATTATAATTTTAAATTTTAAATTTTCCCTTTGGTTCTTCTTCATGCCTTGTATTTCTTTGCTGAATATTTCTATATCCCATTTATTTAAACAGTGTTTGTGATGCTTATTAGAGCATTGTTATAATAGCTATATAAACATCTTTGTGAGTTAATTCCAACATCTGCGTCATCTTCACATTGGCATTTATTGATTGCCTTTTCTCACACAAGTTCTGGTTCTTTGTATGCCGAGTAATTTTGGACTGTATCCTGAACATTTTGAACTACAACATAACTATATTATGAACCACTGGGTCTCATTTAAATTCTAAGGAGAATTGTTACTCTTGCTGTTTTAGCAGACAATAGACCTGGTTACATTCAGGCTGCAAATTCTAACCCACCTTCAATGTGCTTTGATTCTCATGTTGACTAAGTTTTCAAAGCCTTTGCAGTGTTTTTTGAGTCTGACTTGTATGTGCCAAACCTAATGGTCATGTGACAACCTGGGAAGTTGTCTACTTATTAATTCAGTTCCTATCATCTTTGGTATGCTGATTAGGACCAAATTAGTGCATATGCAAGTAAGGGATGATCCCAGGAGTTCATAAACAACGTCAAGGATTGCTTTGTCAAGATTTTCTCTCTGCAATCTCTATAGCATTTTCCAGTTCCCTGGGGCTCCTGCTTTAGTTATCCCACTCCCCAGTAGTTTCAGGGCACAGGCCATGCAATAAGAGGACGGAGGGGAAAAAAGCAACAGGGATTCAATCGTTTCTTTGGGATTACAGCTCAGCAATGAAGAAAGTTTCTCTTTCTCAGAGTTGGCTCCTGCTCATCTGCTGTTTCCAATACAGGATTACCTGGGGTCTAGGGCATAAGAAAATGGAAAGAAGGGGGAAATAAACTACTTCCACACTCCCTCTGACATTACAGCTTACTTTTTCATGTTCTTTGCACCAGGAATAAAGAGCATTTCCTGGATATCTGCTGTGTTGCCTAGTGCTCACTTCCAGGTTTCAGGTTCAACTATACTCAAGCGAAGGAATAACTGGAGGAAAAAGCTGGTAAGTTGACTGCCAGTTAGAGGTACTTCAAATTCGGGTGTTCTCCCCAAGTCTCTTACTATTTACTTTTCGAAGTCTTTTAATACGTGCTCCATGAATCCATGGAGCACGTATTAAAAGACTTTGAATTTTATTCAGGTATGGTCACCATGCTTGGGGTAAGAGACAGGGAAAGGTATGTTTACTCTATCCTCCCCAGAACCAGAATCATCACATCTAATTTTCATAGATGCCATTTATTAAGTGCATATGAGCAACGCCTATTCTAAGTGCTTTACTTCTCTAACACTTACCAAACTCCCAAGTTGTATATAGGTATATATTATAATCTTCATTTTAAAAATAGGAAAACAGATGCTTAGAAAAGATTGAAGACCTTGACAGAGTTCACCTGCCTAATGACAAGACTTATAGTAGGCTTTAAACATTATACCTTGGATATATTATATTTTGGAGCGGGTAGTCTAAAAACCTGCTTCAAAATTACCTACAATGCTTCTTAAAATTGAAGTTTCCTCTACCTCACCCCAGACATACTAAAGTAAAATCTTTGGGAATTGGGCTAAAGGACATTCCTATGCATACTACATTGAGAACCAGTGTATATTCTCTCCAATAAAAGAATTCTTCAATCTACATTACTTTTGAAAGGATGTCAATATTCAATACTTCATATAGGAATAACCATTAGGGGTGGCATCCATCAGCTTAAAATAGCTTACATATGTTTACTTTCCTACTTTGCTGTATCTTGGTAAGGAACATTAAGTAGGACTTGTCACGAACAAAGTTCATTTTATACACAAGAAGATTATCTGGACCCTCAGACTTGAATCCAACATTCTTGATCCCACTCCAACCCTTTACAATGAAAGTTCACTAATACACCTCCTCCCCAAGAAGTATCAGTCCATCACTATATCAATTCTATTTTGGAAAGAGAGCAGGCATAAGTCAATTCCACTCATTTGTCACAGGCAGTGCTGCCACATTTCTCCCCAGGAAGTAAAGCTGCCCCATCTTTTCGGATGGAGCGTTCTTGACAGAATAATGGTTTTGAGGGGCTCACTGTGAAGAACTGGGAACCTCATCCTCTATGAGCCCAGTTTGAATAACAAGGCTCTAGGTAATAATAAATCTGAGTGAAAAAAAAATGCTTAGAAGAAATCCACACACTACCCAGGACTGGGAAGGGTGGAAAACCTTGCTTCAGAATGGAAGAACAGAAGATTTTTCTTAGGTAAGAAGGTTTTTAGGACAAGTTTACATGTAAGGACATAATTATAAAGATTTGAAAAAGTCAATCAGATTGCAACATTCCACAGGATGCTTGGTTAATAATGTAAATAACTCGAGAATTCTGTACACATAAATCTTCTGAGAATCTCAAAGAGTTTTATAGACATTGGCTTAACGGCTCATAACAGGGATTATCATTCCTAACTCACATATGGGAAAAGCAAGGTCAAGTGTGCCATTCTTAAGGCCCTCTGATAGTCTCCTTTATAAAAAATGTGTTATAACACACCAAAACAATAAGTCATATTTCAGCACTAAAACTTCTGGCAAATATTCTGCTTTGAAATAAGAACCTTTGTCGAAAACTGTTCTTATGGATATTTATGAGGAAATTCAAAAGTGCTAACTTGATCCGCAGTAATGAATCAAAACTAAAAAGAACTCAGTACAGTTATTTTCAAAAGTAAGAGTATGTCAACCAGTAATTTTCACTGCCTGGCCCTCCCACCCCCAACCCCACCACTTTCTGGAGAAAGAAAACTCCAAAACATATGGCCCAGGAAGAAAATCTGTACTCGTTTATAGCAATGAACTGGCTTTTACATCTCTGTAGTTAGAGTACGCAAATGACTTCACAGGCAACAGCTTCCGTATGTTTCATATTTTTAACATTGACCGTTCATAATAAAGATTCTTTGATCCCAGATCAAATGTTTGAATTGATTTTCCCTACACTTACTCAGAGTCACCATTTAAAAGGCTCCCCTCTTTCTCGACTCAGATGTTTCAGCCCTTCCTGCAATCAGAACTATCTCCACTTGTCACCTTCTCCATGGTCCTTCCCACTCCTTTGCTGTGGTTTTTAGCTCTGCTCCCTAACTTCTCATAAGAGGCACAGTAATAAATAATTTTTGTATATAATAAGTTAACTACAACAAATGAGATTCAGAATTTTATAGGCATCTTTGATTACACAGAAAGCTCATGGTAAAATTTAGTACAAAAATTGATTGTGTCTCAGAAAAATTCTCAACAGGTAAGGCCTTTGGATATATTTAAGAAAAATAAAAAGGAGATTCTATTCCTTGGATTGAAACTAGAAAAAGTGAACGGATACCAAAGGCCTAAACAAAACACCAAAGTCTTGATAAATAATATAAACATCAAATTTTTTAAAAAAAGGAAAAAGCCTAGTAGGCCAGGTGCAGTGGTTAACGTCTGTAATCCTAGAACTTTGGAGGCAGAGATGGGCACATCACTTGAGGTCAGGAGTTCAGACCAGCCTGGCCAACATAGTGAAACCTCGTCTCTACTAAAAATATAAAAAACAGCAGGGTGTGGTGGTACACACCTGTAATCCCAGCTACTCAGGAGGCTGAGGCAAAAGAATCACTTGAAGTCAGGAGGCAGAGGTTGCAGTGATCTGAGATTGTGAAGTCTAGTAAATGCTACAGGTTTAGAATATCCCTAAGAATAAATTATTTTAAATGATTCCAAAGCCTTTATTTGAAGGCCTTGTTGAGAAGGAACAATTTTAATATAATCTTAATTCCTAAAACCTTAAAACATAAATTCATCAGAAAGGTACTCATTAAATAAAGGTTAAATTGAAAAATAGTTTTAAAATTTCCAGTAGTAAATAAAATAAATATGGGAGTAACTTAGCTATATATGGGTCCAATTAACCTGATACAGTAAAAGAGAAAGAGAAGGAGGGAGAGAATAAAAGGAAGAAAGGAAGACAAGAAGGGAAGGAGGAAGGGGAAAAAAGAAAAAAATTCCAGTGTTAAAAGTCCCTTTAAAAATGATTTGTTTCTTTTCCATTTTGTTTGGACTGGTAGGCAGGTCAAATTTTAGGACAATTTAAGCTACCATGATTCTTCATCTTAGAATACAGATAGATACCACAAAAAAAAACATTGAATGTTAATTTAGACTCGGCCTTATCTTTTATAAACATGAAAATCCTATACTTTCAGGTGCCAACACAGGGGGCCTAAGTTGGTTATGACCTGGGAAAAACTGAAATTTCCCTGGCTTTGTACAAGATCATCAACCAAACCCAGTAATTACAGATTACCTTGCACACGGTGGCAAACTGCTGGTTATTTCCTGCTCCAACTACAAGATAGCCATCCTTGGTTTTAAAAGCCTAAAAGAAATAAATACACAGGTAAATATTATTTATATGTTGACCATACCACAAAACTCAACTTTAATTTCTAAAATATCTACATGGAAAGCTTATTCTAAAGTGATGTTATTAATTCAATATCAATTGATTTGTTGTCCCCTTCATCTGTAATGACATAGGAGTGCCACCTGCACTCACCTCCTCACCAAGACCACATTCTAGTGCCCTCTGTCATCAGGATGCTTATTATCACACTGAACTATACTTTTTGACCCCTTTATTATTTGGTACTGTTAACCATTTCTTCCTTCATGAAACTGTTTTATCTTGAGGCTCTGTCCAGGTTCATCTCCTAGCTCTCTGTTTCGCACATACCCTTTCTGCAGAATGTTCTTCTCCTGGGTCTTCAGCATTCCTTAAGCACCTGTCTTTGGTCTTTCACTTCACTTGCTTCTTACGGTAGCCACTAGCTACACGTGATCATTAAATTTAAATAAACTAAAATTAAATTAGCCAGTAACAAAAGGCCAAATATTATGATTCTATTTATATGAAATGTCTAAAATAGGCAAATCCATCAAGACAGAAAAAACACTAGTGGCTGCATAAAGCAGTGGAAGCTGAGGAAAGATGGGGAGTGATTGTTAATAAATACTGGGTTTCTTGTCAGGATAATGAAAATGTTCTAAAACTGACTGACGGTTGTATAACTCTGAATACACCAAAAATCACTGAATTGTGCACTGGAAATGGGTGAATTATATTCCAATAAAGCTGTTATTAACAATTAAATTAACAATTCAGATCCACAGTCTAGCTAAATGTCAAGCATTCAATAGCCACATGTGGCTAGTGGCTATTGTATTAGTCAGCACAGACACAGAATATTTCCATCACCACATAAAGTTCTGTTATACAGTGTTGGTAGAGAGGAACTGGGAGATTGTATTCATCATGTCTTAATCTTAGTCTTCGTCATCCTACCAGACCCAAAGTGATATCTGAAGAATGTCAGGCAATTAATACATAGTTGGTAAATGATAATAAATCAACCAAAGGATTGCTTCCAGGTAATAGAATGGTAGCTAAAATAGATCTCAAGTAATACATTATAACAAGGTTTTATTCTATTTATATTGTTGCTTGATTTGGTAAGGAATGCTATTAAGGAGATATCACATAAACCCTTAAACATTCTCCCTTATCCATGACAGCAAAAGTAAAGTTAGTGTCAAAAACAATGCATTAGTGTTTCTCAAATTACAAAGAAAATCTGCAACAAAGCTGTGAGTGAGGTACAAGGATTTTGAGCCAAGATATTGCAAGGAACCACTGGCAACTGTGAAGCTACACAGGTTGTCTGCTTGCTTTTTTGTGGAGAATGATGAGGTAGGAAGTGAATAAGTAAATGTGAAGTCACAATCTGTGTTGGAATGTATAATGTGAAGAAAAGTTTTTTTCCAAATTTTGGATCAGACACATTCAATAAGTTTATATTTTGTAGGGTGTTCATCTCCTTTTAGTAAGTCAAGAAGTGTATATTTTTTCCTGCAGCCTCAAACATATATTTAAATATGTATTTTATCAATATGAAAGTTTAAATTATTAAGAAGCTTCCAGATAGCTGAACATGTGAAGGTTCCTGAAGGATGACATGCCCCAGGAGGGAATGGAAGCTCCATACCCCTTCCTATACCTTGCCTGACATATCTCTTCATCTGTATCCTTGTTAATATCCTTTATAATAAACGAGAAAACATAATAGTTTTAAGCAAAGATAACTAGTCAATGATCATTGAAAAGTGAAGAACTCATAGCAGCTGAACCCCAGAATATAATCGGACTAAAGACCACCAAATAGATTTTATAAAGATTCAGGTAAGATTATGAGTTTTTTTTTAATAATTATTTGTTCCCTGTTACTGCTACAGTATTTATTTAATAAACATATTTTAAATAAGAACTTTAAAAAATAATACTTTATCACTATAGAAAATTGGGGAAGTACAAGATAGAAAAAAACTGCATGATATCATTACCCAGAAGCAGCAACTACTAATACTTAGGTAGCCGTTCTTCTTTCTAGTTTATTTGTATGTACTTTTACATTATTAAGGAAACTACCTTTGAGAGAAACATGACAGGGACCTGAATTCTGCTAAGATATGGCATAGTTAAATGATAACCAGCATTGTTCCCTTGTTTACTTTTCTATTAGGATTTACTGTTTCAGAAATCAAAGATGTGTAACTTCCAAATTGCTCCTACGGATAACATCACTATTGTCAAAACTTCCTAAGATTGGTCTTTAAGATATTTTTCAGACTTTGGCAAGACTTGGCATTCTGGTGAATGACCTGACTCTACCCAGACCAGTGAGTCATAGGAAGGAAGTGATACAACCAGTCCTGGCACCCCCACCCAGAAACTCACTCAGAGTACTAACATAATTTGGATGCTCCTAAGATTTCATCCTCAACCAATCAGTAGCACCCAATCCTTCTCCCCGGCCTACCAAATTACTCTTTAAGTCACTAGACTCCGAGTTGTTTGAGAGGCTGACTTGAGGAATGTCTCCCATACTTCCACTTTGCTGTCCCTGTGATTATTAAACTGTTTCTCTACTGTAACACTGATGTTTCAGCAAACTGGCTTTTATCTCCACAGCAGGCAAGAAGAACTAGTCAGGCAATTACGTGAATATCTTATTGTACATGAATTTCTAGACTGCATTTTTTTCATATAACAGCATATCACAAGCATTTTTAAATGTCATCATTTTTAATGACACAAAATATCTTTTTCAAAATTTGCTTCAACATTCTAAGTTCATTTAAACTGGAGGGTTTTTTTGGTTTGTTTTGTATTCAAATCAAGCCCTATTTCATATGTTAATATCACAAATAAAAAATTATTAAATTTCACACTGAAACTCTGAAGAAAATGTCTGGTCCAACTAAGATCCTTAAAAAGCCAACCTTGCCCCAATAAGGCCTGGGGGATAAAATAGCAAAATGAATCCCAGCCAAGACATTTATTAATAATTAACCTATGTGATATCAGACAATTTACATAATTTAAGAGCCATAGTTTTTACATCTCTAAAATAGGAACGATCAGTACTTACCTTTAAAATTATTTTGACTAAGTTCATAAAGTACACTGATTCATGTATTTGGCAAATATTTGTTGCTATGTGCTAGGCTCTAAGTACAATGGGTAGAAAATGACAAGATAAATGAGACATATATTCTAATAAAGTAGCAGGCATTAATCAAACATTCACATAAATAATTGCAGGCACTGGAAAAGAAAAGTACAAAACCGAATGAGATCTTACTTTATTTTTTTTAAAGAGACAGGGTCTCTCTCTGTCACCCAGGCTGGAGTATACTGGCATAATCCTAGCTCACTGCTGCCTCAAACTGCAGGGCTTAAAAGATCCTCCTCACATAGCCACCTGAGTAGCTAGGACTACTCAGATGGAGTCTCATTGTGTTGCATAGGCTGGTCTCAAATCCTGGTTTCCAGCAATCCTCCAACCTCAGCCCCCCAAACAATGAGATCTTGGGATAGGTGGACCTAATGTTGTCTTGGTTGGGAGCTATGAAGCCAGTTAATAACTATGAATTCTCACATCCCAGCTCTGAGATCATTTTTCACTTTACCTAGTTAATAACTGGTAAAGAGCTAGAGTTAATAACTAGGTAAAGAGCTAGTGGAGAAGGAGGTCATTGCTGGCAGCAGGGAGAACTATTTGCACAAAGGACCTATGGTGGGAAGAAGCAACAGCTCAAGAGAGAGAAGAGGTAGAGTAACATGGTTGAAGATGCAGAGGTAGGCAGGGAGCCAGATGAAGTCAGAAGCCATATGAAATATTTTATTTATCATAAAACTAATGGAAAATCACTGAAATGACTTGAATGATCATGTTTATCTATGTATATATAAATATACACTATAGAGAAAGGACTCTATAACTCTCCCTATACACAATTATATTTATATACACAATAGTATATTATAATTACTACTGTACTTGGTCCCACAAGAAAGGAACTCCTCAGTGAATTCTAAGCCCTTAGGTCTGACTCAGTAAATTCTAAGCCCTTAGGTCTTGACTCCCAGGCCCTCACTGACCCTGCAAATCACTCCTCCTTTTCTTTTACTCATTCTATTGGTTGCCTCACTCTAAAGAAAGCAAACCAAGTGGTAACATGCCATGCACACACACCACTAGTAGAGTTTTGATTACAGGGAGAGCTCAAACCATAAGCAGCGAATTGGGCTGTAAACAGTCAGGACTGGAATGTGTCTCCTGTAAGAAATTCAAGCCTCAGGTGGAAAGAAACAATTGCTTCTGCATAAAATGATGTGAGGAGACAGCAGCAAGGGCAAGCGTCAGAATTTTTAAAGGACAAGGCCAAAACCAAGCCTTGCCTCACAGGAGACCAGATTGTATTACTCCTGAAGAAAGACATCCTTCTCACTAGGAGCTGTGCACATTCAGGGGCAACAAGATTCACTGATAGCGAGATCAAACAGAAATGCACATTTTCATCACATGCTTATCATAATAAACCTCCTTTCCTGGAGAGGGAGATCTTTTTCAAGACTGAGAAAATAATGATGGGTCAAGGAATTTGATGACACAAGATAACTGAAGAACTTCATGATCAAACTGGGAGACACAAAAGGAGAAGGGCATGAAGGTTCCGTGTTTAGTTTCTCTATTTAGAGCAGCTCCACACAGAAGATGTGATCACCCGTGACACAGAAGATACAGAAGTGCAGACTATGGAGCAGATGTGAAGGCAGGGAATTGAGAAGGTCAGTTGAGAATTTCTGTTGCTCCTGGAAGTTTCTACTCCTTCCCAGACACTTTATTTTCTGGGCTTCCAGGCACGTTAGCCTCATTTGATGACATCCTAATTATTAAGCTGACTAAAGATGAAAACATAAGGATTTCAGAAGCCCATGTCAACACAATATGTCATATAATCAAGTGGTAAAAGCAA